GCGGGGCAGCCTCCACTCTGCAGGCCCCGGCCCACCTCTGCCCTGGGGGAGGGAGAGAGGGCCCAGCTCTAGCGTCCCAGACTCAGCAGCGTCCGCGGGCCCGTCTCACCATCCAAGGGGGTCCGGGCCTGGCCCACCTCCTTCCTCTCACACTGCCAGGCTCCCTCCGAGGCCCCAGAAGCTGGTGCATGAGGAAGGGAGGGTGGCAGAGGCCCCTCCCAGAAGCACCGCTAACGCCAGCACCCACTCTGCCTGCTGGGGAGGGGCTCAGGCCCACGGTCCCCTTCTCCCCGGACCCCTTTCCCAGGAGAGCAGTGCCACCAACCCCTTTTGTTAAAAAAAAAAAAAGACAACATCGAGGGACCGTGCCAAAGGGTAAGCGCAGAGAACAGCAGGGGGCCAGCCTGGTGTGAGTGCCCAGCCGCAGGCCCTGGAGGTCAGCCTGGGCCACCCCACACTGCAGTTCTGGACACTTGCAGATGACAGAAAAGCTACAGGGATTCCTGCTGCCCACAGGGCCAGGCGCAGGGTGGGAGGGCTGGAATAGTGGTGGGGTCCGTGTTGTCACCTGGCCCCTGGCTACTCGGGGCCCTCTCCGGGCCATCCCCTCCCGAGGCCTCAGGCCCCACCATCTGGATTTCAAGCTGGGCCTGGACTCCCCACCCCAAAGAATTGGGCCCACAAGCTGCCCCAAACTTGTGTCCACAGGTATGAAATGGAGAAACTCTTCCATTTAATCTTCAAAAATAAGAAAACCGAGGCTCAGATAAAACAGCGACTTGCAAGGTCCAGACCTGAGGGAGCCGAGCGGAGCCTGGGTCTCGAGCCGCCACACAACTTACTGGTAAGATGCTCTGCAGAACCCTTCCCACCCCTTACGCACGGGGCTCGCACGCCAATTTAGCTGGGTCTCAGGCTCCACAGAGACGGTGACCCCACTTTACGGAGGAACAAACCAAAGCGAGAGGGGCCAGTGCCTGGTCCCAGTCCCAGGCGGAGGGAGGAGCGCAGCTCTGGGTGCGCGGAGAGCCCACACTTGCCAGGCCTCCCTCCCGCGCTGCTCAGGAGCGGCACGGTGCTGGCTGCAGACGGCGGAAGTGGCCTCCCCTGGTCTCCTGGGGCACAGAGCGGGCACGGTGACCCGAGAGGGCAGTGGCACAAAGGGGGACACGGGCCTCAGGCTCTGTCCGCTGCGACCAGGGCGCAGTCAGCTCAGTCAGCTCTCTAACCAGTCAGCTCTCCCCACAGGCCCTGCACACACCCGCCCTCGGGCAGCTCCCAGAGGTCCGGGCCAGTGGGCCAGGACCAGGCCCCACAACGGGGCCCCCACCCGGGCCACCAGACCCCGGGCAGTGCTCACACCCTCAGAAAGGACGAGGGCAGCCCTGGGTGTGGCCTCCTCCAGGCCCTCAGTCCACCGAGCAGGAGGGCCCTGCTCCGCCAGGCCTGCGTCCAGAACACACCGCCCCCGAGTCCTCGGGGAGCAGAGCGGGGAGGACACAATTAAATCAGCTCCTGGCTTAGTTTACGTTTCAGAAATACAACAACATTTGGGTCCTGTCCCAGGTTCAGCAAATGCATCCAATTAATTGTGGACTCTTTTTCTTGGTTTAAGTCACAAGACTCAACTTGTATTTCTGGCCATTAACATGCCTTAAGGCTTCCTGGCCCAGGGTCCCCCCAACTCTTTCTTTGTGGGAGGTGGGGGCTGTGGAACCTGTGCCCAGCTCCCCTCTACCTTGAGGCTCCCTGGGGAGTGCAGTTGAGCCAGCTCCGTCCAAATACAACCCCTTCGCCCACCCTCTCATGGAGTCTCTGGGGGACCCCCCAACACACTGAGGGGCCAGCTCTAGGGTCACCTTCTCCGCTAGTGTGCCAGTCTCCTAGAACCCCCAAGCGTCCCCCGCTACACACACGCGCACACACACCCCATAAGTGTGCCCCACAAAGGGAGCCCCACACGGATTTCATTTGAAAACACTTAAGCAGCACATTTGCTCTTTCATAGTCACTTGTCACTGTCACCCTGACTCCCTGGGTGCAGGGGTGGCGGTGGCCGCGCCCGGGAAGGCCAACTGGGGGCCACCGCTGATGACTGAGGAGGAATCCCAGGGGTTCGCGCCTCAGTGCTCTCCTTTGTCAAGGGGCCCACAATGCAGTCCTGCTACTCCACAGGCCACGAACAGACACACGGAAAGGGTGGGTGTGGAGCTCTCAGCAAGTCACAGGGTGCCCTGGCGATGCTCCGCCTCCGCCCCTCCTGACCCGGCGAGACCCGCGGCCCCACAGGACGCAGCTCCAGGTCAAGTACCCGAGTCCTGGGGTTCCCCGTGCCTGATTGCCGGGCTCAGGCTTCCCGGTTCCCAGCACACACTCGTCTCTCAAACC